CCCATTTCTATTTTTACGATTTCGTCAGTGGAACTCTTAAAGGTAATTTTTAAAGGATTGACCTGTGTGATGCTTGTTAAAGGGAGGAAATGAAGGCTAAGTTGGGAAGAACATTAATTCTAAAAGGCTATCTTTAGCCGGGCAGTGGTGGTGTACCCCTTTAATCCCAGCACTCTGGAGGCAGAGGCAGGCAGATTTCTGTGAATTCAAAGCCAGCCTGGTCTACAATGCTACACAGAGAAACCCTGTCACAAAACAACAACAACAAAAAACACCAATCTTCACTAAAATTACAATCTGGTTTGGGGGTATATATAGGTCAGAGAGAGCACTTACTTACATGAAGCCCTGGATTCAATCCCTAGCACCATACATAAAACAATTCTGAAGTATTCCATATTGGTAATACTGGCAGACAAGGTCCTCAAATGGTAATCTTCAAGATGCTTCCACATTTGTAGTCTGCAACAATTCTTTTCCTTGTAGAGGCGATTGCATACATGTAACGTAGTTTTAGCCTTTTCATCTGTTGTGCAGACTTGGGTTATTTATATTCAGTTGTTTCATTCATTTGATTAGTTACTTTTAGTGATTAAAGTGAATTGCATTGTTATTGAAGAGTGACGGATGCATTCACTTTGGTAAAACTAAAGTCTGTGGTCTTAAGATTATTTGTTGGAAAATATTTATCATGGGGTCAATATGGAAGATCGTAAAGCACAACTCAAATATATATTGAGCACTATTAGGAAAGGGACCTAAAATGGACATGCTGTAACTACCATATCGGCCAGAGGTGCAGTGTAAAGTTAGCTGGACTTGGGAGACCTGGAATTTTTTACTCATTCACTTCTTGTGAGTATTAAGTAGTATTTCTTGTGAAGTCTCTCAGTGATGTGAGTGTTGTCAGATAGAGATGGACTTGTTAGTGAGTTAGTATCCTATACCACTTGTGAAACTCTCAAGTCCTAATAATCGGGTGGTTATGTTTCTGTTTTAAGTCACAATGAAACAGTTACCTAAGAAGGGGTACCAAGGGATATTCTTTTCTTAGTTTGTTACTACCTAGAAGTCACATCTACTTTCAGACTTATGTATACTTAGTGGCTATTGGACAGAGTTAGAATTGTACCTACAACTGAGACTGATTTCTGTCAGTGTACCCCATCCCATCTCAGAAAATAGGTTGTGTTTTTTGACTTGTGACAAAACTTTCCTTAATATTTTTTTCCTGTTAGTACTCACAGAATGCTACTGCATACCATCAGTTTTGAGAATTGGCAATGGGAAGTTGAAAAGCATGAGAGAACACAAAATAAGCGTGCAGAATCATAATCAGAAATTGAAGCAACATGCGGAAGTAAGCCCCTGGAGGCTTTTAAAATAGCTTTTTACCACAGTTCTTCAGCTTTTTGTATTTTCTTTCACTCAGTCTTATTGTAGAAATTAAGCTAATGACTGGGACTGGAGAGATGGCTCAGAAGTTAAGAGCACAGGCTGCTCTTCCAGAGGTCCTGAGTTCAATTCCCAGAAACCACATGGTGGTTCATAGCCATCTATAATGAGACCTGAAGCCCTCTTCTGATGAGTAGGCATACATGCAGACAGAACACTGTATACATAATAAATAAAGCTTTAAAGAAATCAAGCTAATGGAAGGCACTATTGAACAGAGAAGTTTAGCCTGTGGAAACATTCCATAAATGTTACCCATAAAACTCATTATTTCTAGGGCAGTGGTGGTACACACCTTCAATCCTAGCCCTTGGGAAGCAGAGACATGTGGATCTCTTAGTTTGAGGCTAGCCTGATCTACAAAGTGAGTTCTAGAACATTCAGGGCTACACAGAGAAACCCTATCTAGGGCCTCCCACAAACAAACCAACAAACAAGTAGTATTATTTCTGATCTATAAGTTTGAGACAGTAGGGTATTGTGGTTAATGACTTCAGGCGAAATTGACATCGTTGTTTTACTTGAATATGAAAAAATATTAAGTTAGCCTGTAGAATATAGTGAAAAATTATTTCAACTCAAAATGTGTGGAATTTCTTTCCCTTCATCAAGTTAACAGTCCATTCTGTTGCAGACACCAGCTGGGCATCCTCCAGTTAATTAAGTTCTAAAAACTGGTATGAACCACCCCTGGTAGTATAGGCTGGAAATCCCAGCTATTTGGGAAACAGATGTAGGAAGATTGCAAGTTCAAGGCTTGCCTGGATTACAGAGTGAGTTTAAGACCAGCCTCAACACTTTACCGAGACTGAGTTTTTTTCTTTTGTTTTGTTTTAAGAAGACCAGAGATATATTCATTGGTAGAGAACCTGCTCAGTGTGCCCCAGGTTCAGTCCCTCAGTCCCTAGCACTGCATGGGGGAGGGGCTCTTCAGACCCACATCTTTGGTGTGTGTGTGTGTGTCTGTGTTTCTGTGTGTGTGTGTCTGTGTGTGTATTTGGTTTTGATTTTTTTTGAGACAGCATGTCAGTATCCCAGGCTGACCTAGAACCCAGAACATAATTAGCCGAGGCAAGCCTTGAACTTATGAGATCACTTTGTTCACCTTCTGAGTACCAAAAGTAAAGGCATTCTTATTTTTAATTTTATAAAGATTTCTGCATTCCTTTTTGGGGAGATGTAGTATTCACACTATTGCTCTGGAGCCTTGTCGGGCTTCAGACGTGAAAACCTTTTGCCTCAACTTATGTTGAGGCATGCCCACCATGCCCAGCTCTTACCACCTTTTAATGGTCTTTAAAGAATGTTTTATATTGAAACTCATGGTGGTTGAAGAATGAAGACAAAATCTGAAAGAATAAAAAAATTATTTCTATAGGAGGTTAAGTTCTTGTATAGTATTTCCTGACCTTAGTTGCTTGCTTTAGTGGTGAAGTTTTCTTGCCCTTTATAAAGAAAAATATGATCAAAAGATAAGAAACTTAATTTTTCTGGTTTAAAAGTCTACATTTAAATAATTCCATGGCCTATACTAATGTATATCAATCAGCATAGTATGGATTGGGTTGTGATGCACACCAGTGTGGATGGATATATTAAGCACAGACTATTTTCTCATATTTAAAAGCTTTTTTTTCAAATTATATGTATGTGTGTACAAGCATGTGCATGTGAGTTTAGATGCACTCACTCAGAGGCAAGAAGTGCTGGATCCCCTGGAGTTGGAGCCCGTGTGCTGGAAGTTAAGCTTGGGTCTTTAACCCCTGAGCCACTTCTGCAGTCCTCTTCTGAAATATCTTTTATCCTGATAGGTCAGTTCTCATTTTCAGACACGAAATTCTCAGGTACACAGAGGGCCAGTTACAACCAAAATTCAGTTGTCATTGTTTTGGGACAACATGCCAGCACTAGAGCTTCTGTTCCTTAACAAGATTGTGCAGCAGTTTTGTAGTAGGAGCACTCTGAAATTCTAAGTAGAAGATGTACTTTAATTTTTAGTTCTTTGGTATACTACATGGGTTTTCTCTAGGCCAGTTATTTGAGTACAGATGCTGTCTCCTGTAGAACATGGCTCTTCTGGTCGGATGAGGCAGGAAGTCCAGTACATTTACACTTTTGTTCTCTGATGTACTTGTATGTTTGCTTGCTTTCCAATGGCTCACTCCCCCCCCCCCCTGTGTGGAAGAGGAACTGTTTTAGAAGCATTCATCTGGTATCCTGTGTGTAGGATGAATTTATTTGCAGGAGCATAGTGTAGGAAACAATATTGCATTCTTCTTCCATGAGGGGACAGACATGTGTGCACATAAGCACACATTACTAACTTGTTTTGAGCAGAAGTGGGAGGGCCTGGGGACCAAACATGGCAAAATCATTAGTTTGAAAAGATGCTGTGGCTGAAGACAGGAATTTCATTGAACTAGGTCCTTTAGTTCTGTTTTCATTAGTTTCTTTTACCCTGGTCAAGCTTTCTTATATGTAGTTCTGCCATCATTGTCAGCTTTCTGTAATCTACATTACACCTATGTTCCTCACAACTAGTAAAACTCTAAATCTTAGAAATGTGTCGTCGTCCCTCACTGGACTTGGAATATGCTCAGACAGGAAATTGTTTCACTTTATCCTTAGCACAGACTGCAGCCCTGTCTGTCCCTCCTTCACCCTTTTCATATGCCCAGAGTCTTTCTCACTCTTTCTCCTTGGAAACTTGCTCTGTGGACTAGCTTCATTAAAAGTTTCCTGATCTATCATGCTAAAATAATTTAAATTGCTTTATGACAACAAATGTATATATTCAATGATAAGTTATTCTATTGTGTGCAATACAAATAGTCTGTATTAAACTTGCAAAGACTGTGAGTTCTTAGTAGATATAAAACTGCAGTATATGAATTTATCATATCTTAATTATGAAATGTTTTTAATGTTTTCTAGTTTAAAAATTGGGTCAGGGTGAAGAGAAAAGGCCTCATGTCTTCCAGGGTGCTCACAGAGCAGCAGTGAAGCAGGAGTAGGTCTTCTCTTGACCTAACACTTAACAGAGGACTTCTGCGGTCAAGCCCCACCTCCACACAAGCAAGCGAGTAGATGATTCTGTCCACTTGGCTGTTGTAGTTCAGTCTGTTCTTCACTATCTTCCCAGAAGTAGCATTAGACCACAGGTTGAGGATACAGTTCCTAAGACTGCTCTGTCTCCTCAGACTCTGGGCACAAGCTCTAAGTCATTTTACCTGTACTTCTGAAAGCTTAGCTATGGAGCAGAGTTCCCACAGGACTGTGGGCAAAGATAAATACTGCTCTCAAGTTGATTAAGGAGGAATATGCAAAGAATACTAATGAGTCAGATGAAGAGATGGGTAGAAGAAACAGTAAAGACAAATTTGTGGGAACTGCTAGAGAAACATCTGTGTAAAGCAAGTGCTGACAGTGTTGCATAGTGGCCACAGTGGCTTCTTGTTTTTCTAAGTCACAGCAGCAGTTAACACAGTGCACTAGTGCCTTAATAAATCAACACTTAAGTCCTTATTTTTGTTTTTGTTTTTAAGTTATTGAAATTATGAGACTATCAATTCAAATGGATGCATTATAGTTCTTCGGAACCATTATGATCTCAAAAGCAAAGGAGAATGAGATACACGGGCTGAGGTGTTGTGAGGTGCTTCGAAGTGTTCCAGTGTGACTTACCTTAACATGTTCTTGAAGTACTATGGCGTGGATTAAAAGGTATGCTTTTAGAAATCTCTCAGTGATCCAGAGGTCATAGGTTGAATCAACACTTAATAATTCTGTCATTTTTTTCATCACAGTCATGGTTATGGATGTATCATGGGGTTTTGTTGTTAAAATCACAACCTTTATGCCAGAGGTTTTTACCCTCCTCCCCTCTTTTGATGTAAGTTTGTGGAAGACACCAGGATAGTTGCTTTCCTTACACTAATTGTAAAAGACTATAATTTATTTCATCATATAGTTTAGAGATACATAACTAATGTTAGTTATGTATCACAGACTATTTCTCTGCAATGCTGTCACTTCATGGTGGCCTGAACAAAAAACAGTTGTATAAGTTCTTCACTTAGGGTATTAATGTGACTAGTAAAATGATTCCTTGTACTGCTTGTAAGCAGTATTGTGTTGTAAACAAACAGTATTGTCCTTTGTGGAAAAAAAATCACTTAGAGGAAAATGAGTGATTAAAAAAATATATGTGTATATTGTGAGTTCGTGGATATAAGTATGCAGTTAATCATACATGTGTTCACAGTATGTAGTCTTGTAATTGTGGTCCCTAGGAGTGGTAAGTCTAGACTCTGTAACACCTACTTATGCATTAAGGTTCTTTACAGTTTTTATGTTCAGAAAATTTTACTTGCATGTTGTAAGATTATGTTATTATTTGAAGTCTTGGAATCTAGTTTTTGTGCTATGTTTGCTCTTGAAATTGTTTTGTGTATAGAAGTGAATGAATTTGGGTGCATCACTGACCTTATTAATGTTCTATCAGATTTAGAATAGTTTGTCTTTTACAGCATGAAGGAAAATGTGTTCATTGGAAAGATAAAGGTGTAAGCCACAGATCAACAGGTTGAATGGAAACACTGATACAGGACAGAGTTTAATTGGGCTGCATATAGTGGATCCTCTGGCATATCAGTAACTATGTTATTACTGGAATTTAGTTGTTGAAGCCAGGACTAAATTGTTTTATATTAAAATCTAGTTGGTGATGACAGTGATCAAATCATGTTCCAAGGTAGAGTCATCTGGAGGTTATGAGCCAAGGCAGTCATTCATTTCAACCCAGAAGTTGATGTCTGATGGCAAACAATAGTATCTGTATCTAAAGTTTTAAATTGTATTTCTGGGTTGCACTTTGGCCTCCATTTGCTTTGCTTGTAATCCAGATAGGATTCTAGTGCTCTGGCAATTTTTGTTCTTGGTGGAAGAGTTACGGCTTTGTTTTAAGAAATTTGTAGTCTGTTTTCCTAAGTTTTATACTGAGTTTTCTTTGTTATCTTGACAGGTTGTAAGAATAACCTGGGAAGCACAAATTTGTATATTAAAAAGGTGTATAGCTATATAGTATAATTTACATTTGATATTTAAATGATTGCATGCATATGAAGGGTTTGGCAATAAGAATCAGTGGTAGATAGTGAGAGTGATAATTATTAAATGTGAAATCAGGACTCTTGGGGTGCAATTATTTGTCCTATCCTGAAACTTCCTACAGTTAAAACCCATCATTGGATTGGTATTTTCAGTTTGGGTTTTTGTTCTGGCACTGAAAGTTGACCACTAAGGACTGGTAATTTTTGATGTTCTTACTTTGCTAGGGTAACTTTTGTGTTCTCTGAAGTTCTGTGTTTTGAATTGTGAGTTCAAAAAAATAAGTGGGTTATGACCATTGTTGAAAAAATCTTGTATGGCAAAAATGAGTCCTGAATAAAGAAAAGGATATATTAGTAATTTTGAAATTATTTCAATATTTAAAATGTAAAAATAAAAAATATGTACACATCTGGATCTGTGGTCTGTTTTAGCTCTAGTTGTGTTCTATAGCCACAATTGGTTTTGCATGATCTTGCTTTGCTGGAAAAAAGTGACCAGAGTATGTTTGTTTGCTTGTGGCCTTTATTGGTGTGGATACTCTATGTTACCTGCAGGGTTTCCTTTACATGTATGTTTTATATAAGTAAGTTACAGGCATCTGTGGGGTGTAGAAGAAAATGAGAAAACAGGATAACAGTGGCTCTTGATGGTGTTACCAATCCTCTCTTTCTATCCTCCTTCCCCGCCAGACACACATACCTCTTGTATGTGGAGACAGATGACAACTTTGTCAAGTCAGTCCTCCTGTTGTGCCACGTGGGTCCAGGATATGCAACTCAGATCATCAGCATTGGCAGCAAACACCCTTACTTATTGAGCCATCTCACTGGCTCTTGTCAAACTTTTGTTTCCAGTAGGTACTGGATTATAGGAACCTGAGTTATAGTAATGTAAGACTAGGAAACTGATGAAAGCCTGGCTGTTTGTTACCAAGATGCTGTCAGGCTCCAAAGCTTGCAGGTATCTCAGGCAGGTATTAGTGAACCCACTGTTTCATCTGGAAGGAGTTAGATATTAACTAGAAGACAGTGATTTGTTCCATTTTGTCCGTTATGTCTGTCCCATTAAATATTCAGAGGTTCATCATTAATAAGTCATTTACAATATTAGTTATAATTTGCTCTTGCTTTTCATTTATGTAAGTGGAACATATAGCTAAAAATTTCAAGGAAACCCTCATAACTTATTTTTTTTGTGATAAGTAAGGAATTGCTCATTTAACAGGTGTTTCTTTAATTCAGTGTTTAAAAAGATGTCAGTGTTAAAAGTGTTTGAGTTATGAGAATTTCTGTTTCTGTTAGGATTTACATGACATTTACACATTTTTCTTGGACTAGTATGTACCTGTGCCAACTACAGTATCCTCATAAAAGCAGATATTTGCTTTATAGATCTATTGAGAATATTGGTAAACATTTTAAAGTAAATAATGCTTCAAGGTAAATAAATGTCAGTATAAGTACTTTTTACCTTGTTTCTAAAATGAAATTATGCTTCCTAGAAAACAGTGAACAGTAAAAGGACAAAGACTTCTGGTGAGTTGTTTCACAGTAATGGAATTTATGCTTTAGTTTTCTATACTGGGGGTTGAAAAAAAAAAAGGAAGGATTCTTTGTTGGAAGAAGAGGGCAGAGATAATCAGCATAATTCATCTTTCTCAAGTTCTGAGAAATTGAGCTAAAAGATATGATTCCTTCTTTGAATTGTGTGTGATCCTGTCCTCCTTAGGAATACTGTTTTGAAACTGTAGAATATGTAGTTTCCCAGCCAGTGGATTAGTTGCCCTGTTAATGGTGGTGGTTGTGGAATGCTAGCCTATGAGTTATAGCAACCATCATCTTCATCAGAACAGCTTTGACTGCTTTTAAGAGAGCCTCAAGATGCAGGGGAGGGGCTTCTTGATGTTCCCTCATAGAAGAAGGCATCATTAAAAACTGACTTGAGATTCCAGCCATTCCTTCCTCTGTCTCATCTGCATATGTCTTAAAGCCTGGGAGCTAGAGTATATAGAGTGGGAAGGCTGTCTAAACGGGAGGGCACCATCTGTGCTGTTATGGAAAACTGTTATCTATGCTGTTCCTATTTCCTGTTGTACAGCTGTTTTGGGATTACCCTCATTTTTGTAAGTTGCCACTGACCTATGCTTTATAAGTAAGCCTGAACTCTTGCTTTAGACTGACTGCCATTAGTTCCCTTTCTGGTAGGAATATTTGTTCAAATTTGTCCACAGCTGTTGTCTATACAGATGTATGCATACATATGTTGTTAGTAGGGAGGTAGTGAATAATGAGAACATATGGACTTACAGTTTAGAAGAATTCAGTTTCTTTTATTCTATTGCTTTCCTCCAAATTTCCCCATATCCCAACTGTCCCTTGTCTCCAGAGGATTCCTTTCTTCTGTTTTCAGTAGCATTGCTTAGCTTTTACATGAAGATCACCGTGCTTCATGATGCTGGGAGCTCTGGCATTTTTGTTTTCAGAGATACATTCCTTTTCTTTGGTATCATAAATGTACCATAGCAGCTTTTTGGTTCATTTGGTGAGCTTATCCTTCCTAGCACAGAGCTGAAGACAGTAAAATATACTCTAGCTCACTGAGTTCTGTGACCAGATGCAATAGAACTCCTGCACTATAAATTAAGGCAGCCGGTACTAAATATAATTTCAGTATGGTTTTGTTTACTAAAAACAAGTCAGGAGGCCGGGGTGATGATTAATGGCACTGGCTGTATTCCTGCATTAGATTCCCAGCACCTACACGACCTCCCGAACTGACTGTAACTCCAGTGTCATGGGATCAGATGGCTGCCTTCTGGCACACGTGGTACACACGCATGCACGGAGGCAAAACACTCAGAAAATAAAACAATTTTAAAAACATGTCAGAATTATCCTCTAAAAATGAAGGTTTCTTTTTAAAGATCTTTTAAAAGATACCTTAAATGTTTTTGGCTTATTTTTTGTTCTTCTATCCCAACCAAAGTTTTCCCCCCTCCTCCCAATTCCCTCTACCTCCCTCCCCCAACCCAAAAAAATTTTTAAGAGCACAGTTTTGACTATGCTGAATTTCATTACTTTGAAAAATAGTACTATTTTGGATGTGTGTGGATGTAGGATAGCTCAAAAAGGAGTACTTCATAAAACCTAGTTGAGAAAGTAGAATTTGTTGTGTCAGGTCAGTTTCTGTGAGGAAATGAGGCAACAAGAAAAAATGGCTCCTTTGAAAAATTCATTGAAGCCACTTTTTGTGTGTGTGCCGTGGAAAGAAAGGACAGATGAACAGGAAGATGTGCTTGTGTTGTTCACGGTGCCACACTCCAGCTAAGATGAACAAGTACAGTTTTTATTGGTGAGGAAGTCAAGTTCTCATTCAGCCAGAGGGCAGGAGTGCTATGACACTTTTGTAGCCCATTTTGGGGAAGCTGTAAAGAAATACCATGCATTGTCAGGTGACATTGCTTTAACAGCTATTGTGTTAATACAGACTTTTTAAGGCTGTGACTGTAAGCATGCCACATTGAAAAACAGTCATTAGGGAGAACATAGCTGGTGCTCTCTCTGTCTCTGTCTGTCTCTCCCCCCCTCCTTCCCCCCTCCTTCTCTCTCTCC